GTTTCAGATATGAGTATTTCATTTCATTTTTGTTTTTCTTCAATATCTGAGTGAAAAAAACCTTATTTGATAGATGTGTATTTTACAATATACAAATTTATAAGTAAGTTTAAAATAAAACTGTCTGATAACATTAGATCAGAAATCCCCAACAAGATAGTTTAGATGATTGTATTGGTTAAAGTCATTAATTGATATAAATACATAGATATTACTCTTTTTGGACATAGTATTGATAGTTTTGAAAAACCATAGACATAGTCATTAAAACGTTATTTTTGGTGTTGATTTAAAAAACCAGTAAACTATTTGAACAATACCAATTACACTATAGTAGAAAATTAAATTAGAAATGAATCATGCTGATAAAATGAATTCCTAATAATTAATTGGAATAGAGCATATAGAAATCATATTAGCATAAATGTTTAAAGAAGATAATAATTATAGAATATAGAAATTCTAATTCCAACAACACATTGTATTTAAATTCCATTTTTCATGTTGTACTTAAAAGATTTTTTCCGGATTTAAGTTCTCAAATGAACTTAATGGGAGTAGGGCTTTGAATAACTTTAGGTAAGGAAAATATTAATGCACATAAATGTCTGTTTGAAAAATATGGCACTTGAGTTTATCATGTGAATGAAACTTTTTTCAATGTTGGATTGGAAAAGACAAAGAAGCTCTAGGCTTACGTTTGATACACAACTTTGGGGTAGTGAGCTCTTTGAGAGCTGAAGCAAATGAAAACTTCATTTTTTGGTCTAGATCTGAAAACCCACAGCATACAATTTCAATTACACTATCTGACTATATGAGAATATTAAATTGGAAATGAGTCATGTTGATAAAATGAATAAAATAATTGTATTAGAATAGATCATATAGAAATCATATTAGCAAAAAAAAATACAGAAAGTTATTAGATGATTATATTGGTTAAAATTATTTAAAGAAACAAAGAGACAGACATTATCCTGTTGGCAGGATTCCTACAATTCCTGGTGCATTCGAACCGCAACAACACTACTTAAGTCTCCAGTTTGATGACCTACACAATGACCTACACTGTGTGAGTGTCTCTAGATTAAAACTTTGACGAAATGATTATATACATCACAAATGTGCAGAATGTAACACTACTAGAGAACACAAGAACAACTGTTTATATGCATCTTCTCCCATTGAAACTTCAAACTTGTGATTTGTTTTAAGTTTTAAAAACAACTTCATGTTGGTGATGTCTTTAATAGCCTAGATAAATGAAAACATTACTTTGTAGATGTTTATTTCTTAATTCAATGGTTTATGTGGATAATGATTTGCAAAAATGAGTAGTAGTGAAAACTGAAAAATAGATCTAGACATAGTCAATTTAAACTAAACTTTTCGTTATAATATTTTTATATTGTTATCATTGTTAAAATCCTTCCGTGTACACATTGAGGGAATCATTATATAATAATAGATTGGACTTCATGTTTACATAAGCCTAATCAAATTGCATGTTTTTATTAATTCATACTATATAAGACAGGAAATTAGATTTGCAATGGATTTTCAATAAATCAGTAAAACAAACAGTCAATGCAAAATATTTGAAGACTACATCAAATTTCAACACATCATAGCATCATGCAATAACAACACTTCGTATTACAAAATATAGTTATATCAATCGAGGCCACAAATATCTACACCAACCACCAATTTAACCAAGGCAAAAGCAATTGATTTAACGATACCTTATAGATTTCAAGTTGCCTGGCCTGGTGTGTCTGCTGGTGGGAAACTATGGCCTTCTAACAGACGTCATACTCTTCGTATAACTACGGGATCTGAAATCAAACATACAACCAAATATTATTCAGGTTTCGAAATTGGCCATAAATAAATATCACAAGCATAAGTAGCAAAACACTCATCTTTTTTGTAAGAGACTTGAAAGGTTGAATTCTAATCAATATATAGATTAAATTCTATGAAAAAGAAAAGAAATGTATTTGGAATTAACAAATCGGTACTCACCCAGAAAATTTTGATGGCTTCTGTGTTCGATTAGAATGGCTGCCGGTGCATTGTTTCTGTGAGATGGAGAAGCGGTGCGATGTGAGGTAGATGTAGCGATGGTTTGGGGGACCTTAGTATACGGTGGGTTAGGTTGGGCTGGACTGGGCTGGACTGGGCTGGGCTAATATTTAACAGGTTAACATTATTATGATGGACCTATATAATAAATTAGAATTGTAATGGGCAAGAATGTTTGGCTTGGGCTACCATGTTTGGCTTATTCTTGCTATATACTAGGATATTCTCTAATTATTTCAAAAACTTTGACATTTGATAGCATGTATTCCGTATGATTTTAAAGAAAATACCCGATGACATCCTTATCAAGTACACAGGAGATTCAATTGCTAAGATAGTGGAGGTCATTTATCCCGATTATCTAAAATCAAGTACAGATTTGAGTTACTTGAGAGAGAGAGCAATTCTGGCTTCGACCCTTGATGTTGTTGATTCTATCAACGACTACATGATAAGTTTGAATTTCAAGGAAGTTGCTAGAACATATCTTAGTTCAGACAGTGATTGCAAATCTGATTCAACGCATGATCTTATAGCAGAGTTGCACACTACATAATTCTTGAATAGTATTAAACTCTCTGGTGTGCCAAATCATAAGTTAACTTTGAAAGTCGGTACCACTGTCATGCTTTTGCGTAATATTGATCACTCATTGGGTTTGTGTAACTGGACAAGACTAATCATAACAAAGATGTGTGATCACATCTTAGAGGGAAGGATCCTCAATTGTATGAGTGCATGTCAGAAAGTCTTAATACCACGATTATCTTTTACACCGTCAGATGTTAGGCTGCCATTTAGATTTCAAAGGAGGCAATTCCCTATTATGATTTCTTATGCAATGATCATTAATAAAAGTAAGGTCAGTCTCTCACTCACGTCGGTCTCTTATTGAAAAGCCACTTTTCAGCCATGAACAATTGTATGTTGCAGTGTCAAGAGTTACCAACCGTGCAGGTATCAAAATCCTCACCCAAAACGAAGATGATTGTCAGATAGATGAAACCATGAATGTTGTCTACAAAGAAGGGTTCCATAATCTCTAATATTTCATATTGTATTAAAATCACATTACATATTACAATTAACTTACATATCACATTAATATCATTTCTTTATCGTCACAATTTATGATATTTAACTTTATTCCCAATTAGACTTTAATGTCTAACGGTAATGATACCCATGCAACAAACTCCTACACCGTGCATCGCACGGGTGCTATACTAGTTTATATCTAAAGACAATTTGACTGTAATAATCCGTATATAATAATTACAATTTTATGTATCTACAAGCACACTATTGAAAGAACTTAAGTTTCACTTCTCTTGCACTTTAATACTTCAGGCTTCAATAAAACTCGTCAAATCCAGAATTTCCTATTTTCTATCAAATAGAATAATACAATCAAATTCGGATCATAATAGTAACAATATAAAAAATAGAAAAGCTATTACCTAGAGCCTAGACAAACATGACATTAAACCACAAAGACTTTGTATAACAAACCAATTTTAATACAGTTTGTCTTTTCCTAAAAAACTATTTTCTCTCTTAGAAAATACACCCTATTATTTATTTTGTATTTCTTTTTACATCCCAAATTTCCAACTATATGATGACTTCATTTTTAGGTTTCCTCTCTTCTCATACCAACAATACTTCTTGATCACTCATCCATCACTTTTTTTTGTTTTTTTCGAACTTTTGGCCGGTTCATAATTATTATATTGTCAAATGTGCTATGTTCTCATTCAATTGTAGTTTTTTTCTTTTCACGTTTATTTGATACCTATTTTGAAATCTCATATTAAGGTATATTTAAAACGTTTTGAGTATTTGATCTTTTAATACATTAATAAATACTATCAAAAAAGTAAATGATTATAAATCAAATAGGGTAATTTGAGTTTGCACTCCATTTTATTTTATTGTTCAAATTTGACTTTGCACTCTGTTTTTAAAAATCTTTGTATTTGTACCTTAATCCTATATGAAAAGACAGAAATCCCCATCGATGAAGAATATGTTGAAGGCCAACAGAATTGTTAATAGAGCGCATTTTTGTATTTTCATATGGGGTTGGAGTGCAAATACAAAAACTTTTAAAAACAGATCGTAAAGTCTAATTTGAACAATAAAATGGAGTATAGACTCAAATTACTCCCATCAATTCTTATCAAATTTGAATATGTGAACACTACAAAAATTAAAGAGTAATGCTAGAGGTACAAAAACTTTTACAAAAAGTCTAACAAAAGGGGTATGTGGCATCATCATATTATTTAACACATCACATCACATTTACAACACTTTTACATCAATGGTAATTAGAATAGCCACATCACTTGTTTGTAAGTTTTTTTGTGAGTGTTTGTACTTCTAGCATTTTTCAAAATTAAATTGTTGCATCTAATAAAAGGGAGGTCAGGAAGGTGGGTGTAGTCCAATGGATGACCATCCACCCCCAAGTCTCTCCTTTGTGGGAGGTTTTGGGTTCAATTCCCACCAAGGGGAGATGATGGAAGTCTTGCTCCCAATGATTCTTCCTACCTTCACGAAGTTACTCAGCGGCTGAGAAGGAAGAAGATGGTAATGAAGATAGCGGGTTCGTGTGGTGAGAGGAGCAGCTTGAAAGGTGATGTAAGTCCTGCTGGATTCGTCATTTGAAGCTAGTACTGACGAGTCTGACTGTGATCAGATCCGAATTTAATTGTCTAGGGGCTTTGGAGCCTAATTCATAGGCTCCTGAATTTACTAATTGCACGAAAATTATAGAAGGAAAATATCACTTTCAATGCACGAAAAATAGAAAGAAAAAACACAAAGTAATGGAATACGTAATCTATTCCACATTTTCTTGATTTACATATTGGGAAAAGGGAGAATATTTTGTATTTTTGTCTCCCAATCTTTTTAATAACCATGTCCAATCTTATGACTATACTGGGACGAGTACATAAATGCCAATAGAGATGGCGGAGTGGGTGGATTCTGTAGCATACTATCTACTACACAAATTCCAATCCTGTAATTCTTGCCACCATTTTATTGACTATTACCGTGAAATCCACCGTGATTTTACGGTGGTGCAACCCACCGCCATCACATACCACCTTCCCTTGCCGTCCCCATATTATTATCTTTATTTATTGTTGCTATAATACTAATTATTATTATCATTAATACAGCTCTTCATATTCTGGAGCTAACACGTTATCATTGAGCCGAGAGACATAATTTTGTTTTCTTCTACGTGGGCTGTTCTGTTTCTGCTCCTACTTTTGTTTGCTTTCAAGCGGTTAAAGAATAGCTTTGTTTGAATTTCTACCTCATACCCACAGCCAGCTATTCCGATATGCTGGATTAGTTTCAAGAGGAAATTAAAGCTTAATCGATTTCTCCTCGTTAATCGGAGAGGAGGGAGATATAGTTTCTACTAATTAATCTAGTATGTTGTTCAAAGAGAGGGATAGGGAGAAAGGTGGCGGCGCCGCCGTACCGGGAGAGAGGAAGATGTTTGTCGGGGTGGTGTGGAACTGCGCGACGGAGCTCAAGATCCTGCTCACCGCTCTTCTATTACTCTTCTCAATCATCACTATACTTCAGTTCATCCCTGCTCGCGTTAGCTTCTCCTCCGCCGTCGATCTCCGCTCTTGCCTCTCCAGCCAGCCGCCGTCTGTCACCGCCGTCTCGGCATCTGCGGCCATTCAATCTGTCTCGAATTTCAGCGAGGCGGGCTTGTGGCAGCCACCGACAGTTGTGCGGGACGAAGTTCTCGAAAACGGCGTCGTTAAACGGGCTTTTAATGGGTTTGGCTCGGCGGCTTACAACTTCGTTTTGATGTCGGCTTACCGCGGCGGCGACAACACCTTTGCCGTCATGGGTTTAGCTTCTAAGCCTCTCCATGTGTACGGGAAGCCGAATTACGAATGCGAGTGGGTCCCGGCAGATGAATCGCAGGATTCTATCACCGTCTCCGGCCAGAAGATCCTCCCTGACTGGGGATACGGCCGGGTTTACACTGTGGTGGTGGTGAACTGCACATTCCCGTCCCCGGTTGGCGATGCTGACAACGGCGGGAAGCTGGTAATCCACGCCACCACAAACGGCGGCGGAGACACGAAGTTCAACGTAACGGACACATTCGAGGCTATCGTCGAGACGCCGGAAGATTTCTCGAACTTCACCAAAGTGTTCCAAGCTCCGCCGAAATATGACTACCTGTACTGCGGCTCGTCTCTGTACGGAAATCTGAGCCCTCAGAGAGTTCGAGAGTGGCTGGCCTACCACGTCAGGATGCTGGGAGAGAAGTCGCATTTCGTTATCCACGACGCCGGCGGCGTTCACCCGGAGGTTCGGGAGGTTCTTAAGCCGTGGATGGAGAGAGGCTACGTCACATTACAGGACATTACGGATCAGGAGAGGTTCGACGGATACTACCACAATCAATTCCTCATCGTCAACGATTGCTTGCATAGATACAGATATCACGCGAAATGGATGTTCTTCTTCGACGTCGACGAGTTCATCTTCGTCCCTAAGAAGAGCACTCTCAAATCGGTGCTCGCTTCCTTCTCCGATCACACTCAGTTCACAATCGAGCAAATGCCGATGTCCAACAAGCTCTGCCTCCGCGAGGATTTCGGGAAAACATACCGGTACGTAACTGCGTATATCTCGAATTCGAGATCTGTTCATTAATTCACTAGATCTCTGCTTTCCCCTTCCCAGATCTATACATGTTGCTGAACTTAAAACTGTCTGATACAGAAAATGGGGATTCGAGAAGCTGGTGTACAAGGACGTGAGGAAGGGGATCCGACGGGACCGGAAATATGCGGTGCAACCGCGGAATGTATTCGCGACAGGGGTTCATATGTCGCAGAACACGGTGGGGAAGACGACGCATAAGACGGAGGGGCAGATAATGTACTTCCATTACCACGGAACAATCGCCGAGCGGCGGGAGCCTTGCCGGAGACTGGTCAACTCCACGACAATCACCGTCGACGGAACCCCGTATGCTCTGGACACGACGATGCGAGATGCCGCCGGCGTCGTGAAAAGATTCGAGCTGAAAACAATTGGGCCCAGGTTGCAGAGAACCCGGCAATGAAAAAAAAAAAGCCCACGGATCATCCGGTTCAGTATTATTTTAATTATTAAATTCAATTCCACTCTCTTCTAGGAAGTTTGATTAACAAATTAAAAAATCAAAAAAAAAATCTCCCGCTGGGATAATAGCCATTCGTTAGTTTCTTGTGTATGATAAGACTTTCAAAGCTGGAACATGATAGAAATGGACAGAGTTTTTTAATAGAATATAAATATTTTCCATTATGCATAAATTACACGTACAGGCTACTCTACTCGTTGGAATTTTTATCCCAAAAAAAATCAAATTCAGATTTTGCTTTTTCCAATTGCATGTCTGGCATGATTGAAGAAGTGTCGGTAAAGGGACCACTTACCATGTTCAGTGTTGATCACTATACCGAATGCGGTGGCTGACGGATATTTCATCTTTATAGTAGGAGAAAATAAGATAATCCGAGTATAACCACTCATATTTTATAAATTTACATCCTTCTAACTTACAATCGGGTTGGTGTTGGGGGAAATAGGATAATGGGATAAACAATAAAAAAAGACTAATAATTTAAATATACCGAGTATTAAATTTTAAAAAGACATCTCTCTCGATAATTACTTCGGGGTGCCCATAAAAAACATAATTACTCCGGAGTGTTAAACAATTGGTGTGATAAGTGATGTAAATTTACTGACTATGCCCTATAGTAAACACTATACTGAGTAATTGACGTTCTTATAGCATCTTCAATACAAAAACGTAAACGGTACATACGTGGCATGAGAGATTGGCCTGATTGGCTGGTTCTGGGCTTTTAGCCCGTGTGGGAGGGTCGGGCGGGCCGGGCTCTGGCCCAGATTTGGGCGAATCGGCCCGAGCGGTTCGGGCCGGGCCCGGGTCAATTTTTTTTTTTGTTTTTTCAATTTTTTTTCTTTTCCTAGAATTGGGTTGGGTGTTTTGGGGGGTGGGGGTGAGGGGGGGGGGGGTCGGGGGATAACAAGAAAGCAAAAAAAAAATTAAGTATTGAACCGGGCCTGGCCCGGCCCGGCTAGGCCCGGACCTGGTAGCAACCCGGGCCGGTTCCGGGCCCAAGGAATTGCAAAAAAAGCCCGCCCGGGCCCGGCCCAGAATCGGAACCGGCCCGGTCTGGATCCATCCATACGTATAATGAACACTTAAATATGTTGGCCCATTTGTCCATTTCATAACAGTATAATAATCGACTTAATAAGGTGAATATGATGAATTCGATAAAATACTCGTGTCAAATTGAGTTAATCTTTTGAATCATAAAAAATTATATTTCAATTTTATTTAATGAAATAAAGATTTATACTCCTATATGAAATAGTTAAAATGATTTTTTGTGATAGTTTTAGCCAATTATCATTCATAAGTGTAGATTTAATTCCCTTTTTTATCACTTTACTAACTTTGTCACTTTCTCTTTTAAGTAAAGAATTTGTGGTTTTGTTAAATATATCTTCTTTGTACAAACTTCAACGACACAGTTTTTAGTTTGTTAATTCTCGTGATGGTCAAACTTGACAAAATTTTAAAGGAACGAAAAAGTTTAAATCGGCGTTCAAAATCAAAAGTTACATGTTTAGTTAAAAATTAGCTATTGTATCTCAAAAATCACGTATCTAATATACAAGTAGTTATGTTTAACTTTAAACTATAGGTGATTTCAACTCTGAAAAAAATTAAAGCATTCATTTGATTTTTATTAAGAGGTTTATGATGTTTTATACTACTACCATATACTCCTTTCTCCTTTCGTCGTTCAAAACTTTATCAAGTTTGATTGTCATCTGAAATTAAAAAAATATGGGTGAAGTTTGAGCACATGAAAGAGAAATAAAGAAATAAAAAATCCTTAATTAAAGAAAACGTGATGGAATTTTTAGAAGAATTATTTCCACATTTGATCTTACAATTATCACACTAATTTCACATATGGTTCATGTCTTTGACCACTTTTGATCCATTACTATTGTTTTTCGTGGTTTCACACGTTCACCCATTTATGGTCCATCTATTGATATTTTCATGGTTAAAAACAATGACAGAAAGACCACACATAATAAAGAAAATTAGTCAAATATCAAAAGTGGATAAAATTTAATATAAGAAATAAACGTGAAATTGACATATAATTTATAAGATCAAAAGTGAAATTTAATTCTGTTTAGAATAACAAAACTTATAAGAAACAGAAAAATATACTCCCTACGTTCCTTAAAATTTTGTTAACTTTTCTTTTTGGGCTGCCGCACTAACTTTATCACTTTTCTTTTCAAGTAAAAAGTTTTTGATTTTAGTTAATTCTGTCTTCTCTATACAAAACTCAATCACACAATTTTTACTTTATTAATTCTCCTGCTGATCAAACTTGACAAAGTTTTAAGGGATGAAGAAGTAAATTTCAAAGGTTTCGCCACACACAATTCCACATTTTTTAGAATATACGAATAGTACAGGCAGCTCATTTTTGCTTAATCGAATGGATTGACACCTGGGTATTGGGTTGGCAGACACCTCATTTCATATCCATTGATTGTTGTTTCCTACGAATAATTTACAAGAATATTAACCCAAATATGATTAACCACTGGCACTATCAGACTTTAAATATGAAAATATTTTCTAAACTTGACATTAAATTAATTACTTCAATTTTGGGAATAAAAAACATGACAATTTTATTTTAAAATTTTCAAACGGTTTTAGTTTTATTTCGGGAATTTTCCCATAATTTATTAGTAATTCCGGCGTTCAATTATATTTTGAGTTTTCATCTCCAGTATCCAGTGACCAGTATCTATAAAATGAAAAATACACTGATCTCTCTATTCCGTGACCATAAAACAATTACAATGCCTAACGTTATTATTATGGATCTAAATTTTTAACAAAAATTTGAGCAATTTCGTTAATTAGTACTAAACAAATATTAAGATTTGACTAAGATTCAATTTTATTTAAACATATCTATACAGACAAAGTCTTAAAAAAAGATTTGAAAAATCAAATCCGATCCAATACTCGTTTGATCATACAAGGGCCGATCATTCATGATTTCAAGGACCACCAAGAAGTGATTTATCATCGTTAATCATTTTCATTTACCTCAGGGTCGTAAAGGCTTCCCACCTACGGTTGGGTAGAAGAAGTGATTTATATCAGGTCTAATTTTTTTAAAAAAAAGTGAATTTTTCCTCAAATACTTTATCTACTTTTCACCTATTCACTCTCTCCGGTCGAAATACATCCAATTCTCTCAGACCTTAAATTTCATAAGGTCTATCACAAATTGGAAAGAAATTTTAACCCTATCACAAATTCACACTTCAATTTCATAACAATTTCCAACTAAAAAGTTAAAACACATTCACAATTTCACTATTTGATAATATGATTCCCCGTATTTAATACTTCAATAAAATTAAAATACACAAATTCTAGACCAAACAACAATAAATTACAATTTTAGTACTTCAGGATTCAACAAGTCAACAATTAATGAGTAAGTCAACAACTAAATCAGTAAATGGGTAATCATCAATCAACTAAAAATCTAAATTCAATCATAAAAACATAGATTAGGAATTTAAGGAGTAGTGCATCAGAAGTAGAGCAATAAAATTGTAGATTTATGAGTTAATTACTCATATAGGAGTAAAAGAAATAGAAATTGCACATATAGGAGTGCACACGGTAATAATAAAGTTTAGTAGGAGTAAAATAAACATGGGTGGCAGGGTGGGCCAAAATAACCCTAAAGTAATTACGGGAAAAATTGGATAAGTGGGGCGAATGGTGGTTTGCACTAAATGTTTGGGAACGACAATTCGAAATGAACAACTTCTCTCTCATGTCATTTCCCGCAGCTCACCATTATATCCCCTCCAGCGCCGCGCCTCCCCCACAGGTGTTATCAACCAGCGCCACCCACACTGGATTCACCATCTGCCGCCACCGCACAGTCATCGTAACAACCTTTTATCAAAACCGCCGCCACTGCCAATTGCTAGGCCACAGTGCACCTCTGAGCACTGCCACATCTCCGTCACAACTTCGATGTCATAAATTGTCATTAAATTAGCAAATTTAGTCTTTTAAGTTTCCATGAACAAGGATTTCGAATCTGGCATAAAGTTGGCAGATTTATTTTGGAATATTAACTCAAAACTGCCATAAATTTGGCAAAAATATGAAGCCAATAACCATGAACTCGGAAAATTAGTTTCTTTAATGGAATAACCACTTTAACCAACCGGAAATCGGAAAAATGAAGTTAATTACAAAAAATCAGAAAAACATGTTTACAAAAAGCATTTTTTCCATATTACAATTATCAATCTACACATTTCTTCCATAAACTTGGCAGAAACTTGGCAGAATCTGAAGGTATCATCCTAAATTTTGAAAAATGATTGTTTTTTAAATTATGAACTCAGAAATCGGAAGTGCTAAATAGAAACATGAAAATTGTTAAAAGTAATTCAAAATCCAGGGGAAAAAAGGAATATTAGTGTAATCATGAAAATTTATGTCAATACTCAGAAAAACAGAAGAAGAAGAAGAAGAAGAAGAAGAAGAAGAAGAAGAAGAAGAAGAAGAAGAAGAAGAAGAAGAAGAAGAAGAAGAAGAAGAAGAAGAAGAAGAAGAAGAAGAAGAAGAGGAAGAAACATGACCGTGGTGCACGGTGAAGTCCGCGGCAGCTTGAGGGAGCTAGAACTTGATCGATGTTGTGTGAAGGCTGAAGTCGACAACTGTTACAAGGGGAGGGGCGTGTTCAAGAGATAGGGGGGGAAGGGGCAGTGGAGGACCTAGGGGGGTCCTAGGGGGGCAAGTGCCCCCGCTTCCGACCTCGAAGTTTAAGATTAGTACTTAAAGATAAAAATTGTGCCCCCGCTACGCGGTCATAAAAACTAGAGATTATTTCATAAATATTACCTAAGTAGAACTAATGGACATAAATATTACTATAGTTACTATGCATAGCATAAATTATAAATAACCACGAAGTTGTGATGGAGCAAATCCTTATAGTTAGACATTGATTACTACACTTTGTTTGAAAAGTGACATTGATGATTTTCATAATTGGTGTAAATAATGGTTGTCCAAAGTTAAAAGTCAAAGATATGACAAGTGTTCTAATATGTAGGATGAGCTTAATAGATGCAAGACTTTTATCTTGAATAGAAGTGTATACATGAAAAAATGTGTCAATTTGCGATAAATTAGTTTCAAACCAACAGACTCTTTGAATTTTTTTTATCTATAATATAATGAATGTTAGATATATAGAATCATATTACTCCCTCCGTCCCATAAAATAAGTCCCATTTTCCTTTT